AACTGAAAATTTAAATTATTATTTTAATTCCAGAAACCAGATTCTTTTGTGGGGGGAGGGGTACCAGGGACTGAACTCAGGGACACTTGACCACTAAGTAACATCCCCAGCCCTATTTTGTATTTTATTTAGAGGCAGTGTCTCACTGAGTTGTGTAGTGCTTTGCGGTTGCTGAGGCTGGCTTTAGACTTGTGATCTTCTGCCTYAGCCTCCCAAGCCACTGGGATTAGAGGTGTGTTGCCACTGTTCCCTGCCAGAAATCAGATTCTTTATGCTTTTTGTTTTTAATAGTTTTCTGAGRATAATAATTCTTTGCTTCGCAAATTTTAAAAACAAAAATTTTGTAAAATTCTGTGTTCGCTGTCTTCTGTTCTCTCAGAACTCTTTGTTCTTTAGCTTGTGGTAAGCTACTGTCCTATCAAAAATTTCCTTGAATTTCTAGATCTCCCCTCAACCTCCTCTCTCTCTCTCTCTCAAAAAAAAAAAAATGCTTTTTAACTAAAAAAAGAAGGAAAAGAAAAAAAAAAGAAAATAAATCAATTCCCAATCTTTGCAGATATGCTCTCTGTATTGCAACTTTCCTTCAATGTGTGGACAAGCTATTTATAACTTTTCCTTAGCCTTCACTTCCTGTGTGTACTGAGCCTAGAAGTCAGTTAAAGGTAAAGACTTAGGATCTTCTCATATTCTTTTGGAGAATGTATTCTACCCAAAGCATGTATGAAACTTTTCAAATTCCTCTGTATTTCCAGGCCTTACTCAATACTCTAATTTCCAAAACAAACTCATCCGTACACTTTCCTTCACAGGGTTTGAGATATCCCTTGTTTGGTTAAGTTGTATACTCTTGCCACAAGTAGCAGTGAGTTTTTTATGACAACTTCTCCAGAGTCTCTTTTGTGAAATACTAGTATACTCATATAATTTTCTTTTGGTTACTTCTGACATATTTTAATACATATTTGTGTCATTGTATATGTTTATTTTTCTTAGAATGTTTTAGCTGTGAATGGATAATTATGAGTATAATGCATTCTACTATTGTCATATATGTAAGAAAAAATAAATAAAAATAAAAAGTAAAAAAAAAAAAGAATATTTTTGAAGAATGCCCTATGTACAGCTGCTTTATTGCTTGATAGAGTTTTGAGTTTGGTGAAAAAAAGAAAACTGCTTTGTCTCAGTCCTTCAGGTAACCCCAAGACAATTAAAGAAAACAAACTTAATTCTTTGAGAATACGATAGGCCAAGATCTCACACTGCAAAGATGGGTTACTGCCTTTAATACTACCACTATGTGGGGTATGGTGGCACACATCTTTGATCCCAGCTACACGTGAGGCTGGAGGACGTGGATCATAAGTTTGGGCAACTTAGCAAAGATTGGGAATTGATTTCTTTTCTTTTTTTTTTCTTTTCCTTCTTTTTTTAGTTAAGAAGCATTTTTTTTTTTTTGAGAGAGAGAGGAGGTTGAGGGGAGATCTAGAAATTCAAGGAAATTTTTGATAGGACAGTAGCTTACCACAAGCTAAAAAATAAAAAGAAACTTGGGATGTAGCTCAATATTAGAGTGCCCCTGAGTTCAATTCTTTGCACAAACACACACAAAAAGACCACCACCTTAGAGGGAGTGAGGAAAAATAAGTGAAGATGCCACAAAAATTTCCTAGCAATGTTAAACGGCTTTTGTCGTTTATTGCTAAGAGTTAATGGGGTGCTTTTAATAAATCTTTTATGTTACCTACATTTTACTTCTTTAGAACTCACTTTTCCTTCAACATTTTAATGTCACAATTTTGAAAGATCTAGCAAAGTTTTGAAAGAATTTAAAGCTAGTACCAATGTATTTCATTTCGTAAGTTCTCTGATTAGCTTTCTGAATACTTCCTTTATTGCATATTAAGTTGCTTTTTTCTTGATTCAGCTCTTGCTTGGTTGCTATAGACCTTTGACTATTTTCTAGAGTTCTAACAACAGTTCATTTTTTTTTTTTTTTTTTTTTTTGGTGGTGCCAGGGATTGAACCCAGGGCCTTGTGCATGCGAGGCAAGCACTCTGCCAATTGAGCTATATCCCCAACCCCAAGAGTTCATTTTTTCTCTCTCTTTTTTTTTTTTTTGACATTTCTTTGGAGAAACATATTGCTGGAACCACCTATTCTGCCATCTTTGCTAATGTCTCATAAGACTATTTGTCAGTTAATGCTCTTGAGGTATCTGCTAGTCTAGAATAACCTCAAAAGCCTATGTGTTAAAGGCTCGGTAACCAGCATATGGCACTATTGGGAAGTGGTGCAAACTTTGGAAGGTGGGACCTACTGGAAGGAGTTTAGTCAGTCAGAATGTTCTCGAAGGAGATATTGGGATGCTTGGTCTCTCCTTTGTATTTTGCTTTTTGTCTGCCATGAGGTGAACAGAGCTCTCCTTCCACATGATCCTAACACCATAGGCCCAAAAAACCAGGGCCAGGTGATTTTATATACATATATGTATGTATCCAAAATAAATCTGTCTTACTTATAAGTTAATAATCTCAGGCATTTGTCACAACAGCAAAAGGCTGATTAATAAAGTCCTAAACAGATATTAATATTTCATACAAATAATGATCACTTGGTTTTCTCCTTAAGAATATTAATGTTCCACCAGGCACCGTGGCACATTCCTATAATCCCAGTGACACAGGAGGCTGAGGCAGGAGAATCATGAGTTCAAAGCCAGCCTCATCAAAAGCGAGGCACTAAGCAACTCAGTGGGACCCCATCTCTAAATAAAATACAAAGTAGGGCTGGGATGTTACTCAGTGGTTGAGTGACCCTGAGTTCAATCCCCAGTACCCCACCCCCACAAAAACAAAGAATATTAATGTTCTATGTCTGTTCTTGTCTTACCACCAAAGTTGAAAATGCCAATACAAATGAAAGATTACTATAATAGTGGTATGCTTTTCTGGTTCCTATATTTCCATGGGGATTATCTCAGTTAATATTGAAACAAAATGTTTACTTTTTATTTCAAATATTTTATCAAGAAAGATCCTACTATGTCTTTACAGATAACTATATCAAGACTGAATCTGAATATTTTAAATGCTTTTTTTTTTTGTAAGAGATATTAATCTTCTGCCCTCAGTACTCCTCATTCTAAGGTTTTCAAAGCCAGACTGGCATATACACCATTAGTACTCTGACCTTCAGGCCTTCAAACCATACTATCAGTTTTCCTGGGTTTACAAATAATAATTCATGGTACTTCTCAACCTCCATAACCATATAAGCCAATACCTTATAAAAAATCTTTTTATACAGATATATGTTACTTAAAAACAGTTACAAATTAAGAAAGTTATGATATCATTAGATAATATAATCTAATTCAATTACCATCATATATGTGGTCCATCACTGATTGAAACATGGTTAGCACTGCATGACTATGTGTGTGTGCACCTTATTGATTCCATTTCTCTAAAGAATCCTGCCCAATGTACACATATTATAAATTATTCTCATATTTATGGATTAAGCCTCTAAGAAGATCCTTGATGTGGGCTATATTAGGGGGGTTAGGGATTATTCTTTAGTAAAAACTTTCCCATTACTTCAATTATCAAGTAAAATTCTGTCATTTTTTGAGCAGTTTTGATAATTTTGAGTTCTATAAAGAATGATTCTTTCCTTTATTTTTAAATCTATTAATAAAAGTAGCAACAAAGAACTCCTTAATCATAAATCCTAGAATTAGACTTAGCAAATACAGCTTAATAGCTACAGACCTCTCCATGTTGAGTAATCTCTAAAATTTGTAGACTGGAGAAGCCAATCTGAACCATATTTTCTGCTGCCTGCAGGGTACCAGGAAAGGGAAAGCAAGGAATCATGCATATCCACATTTCTACTCCCTAACTGATCAATTAGGTAAGTCACACCTTTATTCCTAGGTAGAAATAAGTAAGAGAATAACAGTGGAGATGAACACACTCATTTATACTCTCTCAAATAAAAGAAAATATTAGGAATAGGGAATAAATGCTCCCACCTATAAGACAGATTAGGCAAGATACACATGTTTGCCTCATCTATTTCTACAAATGATTTAATAATTTTTGTTTTTCTAGGTGTAACACTAATTCATTAATAAAAATGTTTTTATTAAAAACTGATTAAATGTTTTTGCTAGAAGTTCATTTTAATCTTTTAAAAAATTAGTTTATAGTTTTGTTGAGTAGTAAAGGCAGTTAAGATCATCTGTAACCTTCCTTATAAGTATTCCTTTGGTCATACAGGAATGTTCTATATCTGTTCTTGTCTTACCACAAAAGTTGAAAATGCCAATACAATGATGAAAGATTACTGTAATAGTGGTATGCCTTTCTGGTTCCTATATTTCCATGGGACTATCTCAGTTAATATTGAAATGAAATGTTTACTTTTTATATACAGACTTTTGGCTATAAAATATTCTCAAGGATGTTAATTTGTAAAAATTGAGAGAGTAAGTGCAGTCATTAAGAACATAGGCTCTGGAGTAAGAACAAGTTAGCTAATTTTTTTTTTTTTTTGCCTATTACTTCATCTACAAAATGTGCAGTAATAATAGTGCCTAACATATAGAGTTGTGAGAATTAAACCAGATAACATACATGAAGGGCCTAAAATAATGTCTAGAACATTTAAAATGTTAATTGTGGTAGATATTCTTTGTGACATACTAAATAATAAATTTATAAATCTTTCATGAACAATTGAAGAGTACAGAATACTATGATAGAGTATACAAAAAATCAAGATTGAGTTATGTTATTCAAATCTATATCTTTATTACTTGTTACCTTATTTTTCAAATTCTGAAAACTATAGATCACAGTACATAATTACTACTGTGAATTGTCCAAATTATTCTATTTTTGCTCTCTATATTTCAACATTTATTTGTTGATTGTCAGACTCAAGGAGCATATACTAAAACATAGTAGTTTATCAAGGAGAATAAAACAAATTACCTTTGTCTTCTGTTATGATTTTATCACACTGAACATCTTTATTCTTTGGCGCACCATTAAAAGTCTGCATCATCCTTTCAACATATAAGTCATTGCCTAATCTATTTTTACAAAGGCTTTCATAATTCTTATTTCCTTGGCTGTAAATAATAAAATAAAACCAACTCATTAATAAAAATCAATTATAACTGCACATATTCTCTATGTATGTCACCATTCTCCATTTATGTCCTCAGCATCTAGATCTAGGATTTGTTACTTCTGTTTATTCTTATTCATAATGAATTCTTTCTTTATTGGTTTGATGCATTTTTACTTGATATTATTATCATTAATGTGGCTATACCAAAAAGTGAAGTCAGAGTTCAAAAATATTCTTCGGAAAAGATTGACTTCCAAAGGATGCTTTTACACTGTACCTCTCAACATCTGGACTGCTTTCAGTATCCACCAGTAATATACTAGCACTATTTCTATAGAGGTTTTAATAAGTTCTCTATAGAACTTTAATGTAAATATATAAAGTTATATACTCCTTCAAAATACTACTTTTGTGACATCCTCAAAGTATATTTTCAGAATTGGTCAGTTCTTAGAACTTTTTTAAAAATTTCATTATTTTTTTTTGCTCTGAGGAATTTAGAAATGTGTTTTCTAACTTCCAAATGCGTATATGTGGATGTCTTTTAATTGTGGCTTATATTACTGTTGTTGTTGTTGTTGTTGTTTTTCTTACTGTACTGCATTGTCAGAGAATTTAATCTATTTGATTCTACTTCTTTAAAATTTTTGAGATCTTGTTTCATGGATGTTCCATGTTCTCAAAAAGAATGTGTTCTCTAACTGTTAAGGGCAGAGGTATGTTAAGTGCAGAGGTCATTAAGATTTTGTTCAAATTTTCTGCATATATACTACTTTATTTCCTGGTTGACCTATCAATGATTAAGAGAAGTGGTAAAATCTTCTATGTGTAATGATACTTATCAGGTTTCCAATTTTGTTCTCTATATATTGAGATTATTTTATTAGGAGTATTTAAGTTTATGCTTATACCTTTATACTATTGAGTGACCTTTGCCTCTGATAGGTGTTGTCAGTTTGTTTCTTTGAAGTGATAAAAGTTTTTTTTCCTATATTTTTCTTCTATTTTAAAAATATCCTCTTKGTATTTGGTATTCTGGAGTAGTACAATGCACTGAATGTTTTTTATACCTTTCTTATTTATTCCTATTTCTGTGAAATGGTGTCTCTCAATAGTTGAGAAAGTCATTATGACTCTGACCAGTACCTCTATTTAATTCTGTTTTGCTCTTTCTAACTGTATTAGACATATATCAGACCATTTTATTCTACTATAAACATAAACATATTTTTAACTTTTTTATACTTTGTTATTTTGTATAATTTATCCAGATCTATTTTCTAATTTATTAAATCTCTAATCAATTATGCTTACCATGTTGCTGTTTATTTTCAACAATCATATAAATATACTTATTATAAAGTTCTTTTTCCAAACATGAGTCATAAATTTGATAGTTTCTTAATGTTAATGATGTTTTAACTCTTGCTTAAATATTTCACACATATATATCTGATAATATCATTATCCATAGCCCTCAGTGTCTAGATCTAGGATTTGTTACTTCTGTTTATTCTTATTTGTAATAAATTGTTTCTTTATTGGTTTGATGTATTTTTACCAAATTCAATCTGAGGAAACAGTAAGAGCCTGAATGGGGTATGCTTTCCTCCACAGATTTGTGTTTGCTTCTGAAAACAGCCAGCATTCCTAGTAATTTAGGATCTCTTAAGATAATTTAGGTGCTTTTCTCTCTCCTTTATTTTCAAAGATATAGAGTCTCACTGTGTTGCTCAAGCAGCCCTGAACTCCTGAGCTAGGTTGTTTTTATTTCTTTTCTTTTTGTTAATTTTGGGGATTGAACCCAGAGCCTCATTATTCTAAGCACATATCTACTATCGAGCTACATCCTCAGGCCCCTTTTTTGGGGGTCCTAGGTACACTTTCCCTTACTTTGTATAAGCCGGTAAAACTGTTATTCATGACCTAATTCTCTTAAACTTTAGAGTCCAAATAATTTTATAATTTTTTATACTTTGGGGAGGGCAATGTCCTAAAATTATTTTAGCAATAGATTTTATAGCATTATGAATCACATTTAAATGACATTTGGGATGAAATAATCTGAATAATTATATTAATACTCTATATAGATTATATTAATTTCAGACAGAAAAGACTTCAGAGCAAGAAAAAAAATCAGAGATAAAAAGGGGCATTACAAGATCATAAAAGAGCCAATTCTCCAAGAATATACAATAATATGTTTGTGTCTAACAACACAGCATCAAAATACATGAGGCAAGAATTAATAGTGTATTTATACTCATTAATAAAGAGAAATAAAAAACCTGCTTCAATAGAGTAAACTCCTTTACTTCCCCCATAATATTTTCCTTTAAGTCTTAAATATAAAAATGTCAGTTCTTTCTTTTGAATTTATGTGTGCATAAAATATAGTTAAAATCTATACTGAGACTTCTTTATTGCCTTTATTTTTGTCTTAGAAAGACACATAATTTTTTAAGTTTAGTTAATTGACAAATAATATGCACAAATATATGGGCAAAATGTAGTGCTTTGATATATATATATATATATATATATATATAATATATATATATATATACTACTTAATCTGATTTTGTTTGATAAAATCAGAGTAAGTAGTATATCTGTCATATCAAACATTTATTATGTCTTTGTGGTGAGAACATTCAAAATCTTCTCATCTAGCTATCTGGAAATACACATTGTTAATTATAATCACCCTACTGTACAACAGAACACCTTGTACCTATTGATTAACATCTCCTCTATCACCCTTCAAAAGTTCACCTGATTATTAAATATGGTAAAACCATGGATTTTTCCTCTATGAAAATTTACATATAATATAAGCATAATTTCACATGGCACATACAGTTAGTGTACATTCAGAAATCCCCCAACGACCCTTCATAGAAACAAGGTACAGAACCCCTGCTTTAGCATCTGACATATAGAAGCAATGTAGACAGTTGAACTATACATACGTTACTTTCTCAGCTTCTTCAGATTCTACAGAGATCGTAACTGTTGGCAAGTCAAAAAATCGTAGCATTTCTGACTCTGTAAGTATTATCTCTATATTCTTCTCAAGGTCTTCTTTTGTTATAGTTGTTTCAGGCACTGCCCTCATAACTCGTAAATCTGAAATACATAATAAAAGTCATTAACTAATTCATATTTTTATTTTGCATTTTTTCCTAATTGCCAAAATATGATGAGTCATATGTTGCAGGTGAGCTTATATGATAAAGGAACAGCCCATGGTTTGAAATATAGTATATTCCACTTCTCTGAAACCAAACTGCATCTTACAGCCCAAAAAGTGTCTTCTTTGCTGACTGTAGCTATCAAGCCTAGACTAATCTTATATCCAGTCATAACTAACTCCAAGGAAATCCCCATTATAACTGTTGGCAGGGATTCTGCGCTGACTATTGGTACTACTCTTGCAGAATGTGGGCATAAGTTTACTTGGGGGGATATAGCATGTAACCCTTCTGTAAGCCCTGAAGTTAATTTCTAGTCTATATCTACAACAATCTTCTTATTGTCTTTTGATTTAGATTATAGATAACCTCAAATCATCTTCGATAGGAGCTTCAAAGCTTCTTCAATAGAAGTTCTCATTGACTATATCAATTAAAAAGGCTCAAGATTATTTTGAAAATGATTGGCAAAAAACATTTAGGACAGTCAGAAGTCTAAGATTCATGGAAAATTTTACTGAGGATAGAGTTTTGGGGCTGAGTGAATTTGGAATTGGTTATGTGGACAAAAAAGAGGCATGACATGGCATTATGTTGGAGTTTAATATATTCATTTAATCAAAGAGTGTGAAGAAGGAATCCTTAGGACTTCAGGATGAGTAAAGCTTGAACAACTTTAGGAAACTAAGAACATACAGTTTCCAGAGAACTTAATCTCTTCTAGAGAAGGCCCATAGACTTAGAAAAACATATTCTTAATAACCTAAAAAAAAATTATTTTTTAAAAATGTAAACCAATCACCAAAATTTGGAATGGCTAAACAAATTATACTCTTCTGCGAAAACTAAATAGTAGCTGAATGTAATTTTCAAAATCATGAAAATATATTTGTGATAGAACACAGAAAAGTCTGGAGGAGTAATCAGAGAGGGTGCACCCCAAAGCAGATGTCAACAACACACCTGCCTAAACTTCCAGAAGGTCTCCATTCTTACAGACCTATAAAGAAAGTACGTCACTTGGGCACCAGCACAGTAGGCACAGTGTTGAAATCCACTAAGTGGCCTAAGTCATAGGGAACTACACTAAGAACTCTATTTGGAATTGAACTCAACACTACACACAAACTGACAGACATGGTCAAGAGAAGGCTGCTTACTTAAAGAGGGCCTTCATCTTAAAGTGAAAGAAAGTTCCATTCCAACAAATGCATTAATCTCAACATAGAAACAGAAGAAATATGAAAAACAAAACAAGGCTTATCTGAAAGTTAAGTACTCCCTAGAAACTGATTCCAAAGAACTGTAGGACAAAGAATTCAAAAGATTGATTTTTAAAATAATCAATGTATTCAAAGAGTATATGAATAAATGGCTGAATGAATTAAGAAAGAATGAATTATGAAAGAGCAATTCAATAAGAGATATAGATTCTAAAAAAGAACCAAACACAAATCTTGGAAAACACTCAGTTGGAAGCCTCATCAATGGATTAGATAAAAAAAATAAATAAAGAATATCAGGATTTAAAAATAAGCTCATCACATTTAGAGAATAATAGAGAAAATAGAAAACAATTGTGAACAGAGCATACAAGATCTCTGGGACAACATTAAAAAATCAACCATACAACTCATACAATTTGATGAGTAAGTCAAACTACAGGCTAATGATACAGAAAACCTATTCAATGAAATAACATCAGAAAAATTCCAAGTTTGGGAATTACATGGACATCTAGGTATTGTAGGCATTTAGAACATAAAACTGACAAGACCAGAAAACAATCTGCATGACATATTACAGTTAAACTGCCAAAAGAATAGAACAAAGAAAGAATGTTAAAAGTATGAAGTCAGTTGTAAAGATCAAACCATCAGAATAATTGCAGAATCTCACAACAGAAATTCAAAAGGGCAAGGCATGGAATGATATGGCTTAATAGCCCTGAAAGAAAATAACTACCAACCTAAATTACTAAATCTAGATTTTTATGGTTTGGATATGAGGTGTCTCCCAAAACCTCCGGTAAATGTAGGCATATTCACAGGTAAAATTATTAGACTATGAGAGCTCTAATCTCATCAGTTCATCCTACTTTGAGTGCTAACTATAGACTAGTATGGCGTGGTTGGAAAAGGCATCTCACAGGAATAGAGGGCATGATCTGGAAGGGTGCATCTTCCATGTGACCCCCCGTCCCGTTTCTTCTCCTGAGCCTGCCATGAGCTAAGGAGCTTTCCTCCACTGGGCCCTTCCCCCATGATATGCTGCCTCAACTTGGGTCCACAGCAATGGAATCAGTCATCTACAGATTGAGACCTATGAAATCATTAGCCCCAAATAAACTTTTCCTCCTTTATTTGTTCTTTTGGTCACAGCAATGGAAAAGATTAATAAAACACAGCTGTTCCTTCAGATTCAAAGAAGAAATAAACTCTCCAAGATAAGCATAAAATAAAAGGATTCATGACCACTAAATGGACATTACAGAAGATGCTTAAAGGAATCAGATAAGGAAGCAAGGTAAACATAACCACGACAGCATGGTAAAGAATAAAGCTTACTAGATGAGTAGGTAAACAAATGAGAAGCAAGAAAGAATCAAACAAAACTATTTCAATAAACCATTCATTCATTGAGGCCATCTAAAGAAAAACTGCATAAAATGCAGTTTGAGCCCTACCTTACAAATAAAACTAAAAGCATCCCTAATAATAAACTTCCTCCTGGTTATGCAATGTAACAATGGTTCTCAAACTTTAGCATGAATAAGAATAATTGAAGGACTTATTTAAGGTTTTACTAAATTTTAAAAAAATCAATAAATTTCTTATTTTAGAGTAGTTTCAGATGTATAGAAAAGTTGCAAGAAGGATGTTGGAATGTAATGGACATCATTATACAAAGTACACATATGAAGACTTAAATTGGATGTCAACATACTTTATATACATACAGAGATTTGAAAAAAGTTACATTAATTGTAATGCAAAAAAACACAAAGTACATGTATAAAGGCATAAATTGGCGAGAACATACTTTATATACAGATACGAAAAATTGTGCTCTATATGTGTAATAAGAATTGTAATAAATTCCACTGCTGTTGTGTATTTAAAAAATAATAAAATCAATAAAAGATAAAAAAAAGAAAAGTTGCAAGAATAGTAGAGTTCCTGTATACCCTGCATTGAGTTTTCCCTTTTTAATACTATCTATCATATTTAATACAACTAAAGAAACTATATGGATACTTCATTATCATCTAAAGTCCATATTTTATTCCAAGTTTCTTAGTTTTTAACTGTCATTTTTCTCCTTCAGAATCTCCTCCAAGATATCTAACATTATATATAGCCGTCATGTCCCCTTAGATTCCTCTAACTGTAACAGTTTCTCAGACTTGTTTTTGATAACTGAGTTTTGAGGAATACTGGTCATACATATATTTTGGAAAATGTGCTTCAGTTTCGATTTGCTTGATATTAAACACAGTTATGGGCTTTTCTAGAGGAAGACTACAGAGGTAAACTGTCATTCTAATCAGATATTTAGGGTACATGTTATTAACATGACTTATCACTTATTAACCTTAACAACCAGGCTGAAGTACCATTTTGTCAGGTTTTTCTGCTTTAAAGTTATTCTTCTCCTCCCCACTATATATACTGTATTCTTTTAGAAGTAAGTCAAAATGAAAAGTTCCACCTTCTTGAGGAAGGAATGTCTACATTATTTATCTAGAAATCTTCTGTAAAACTGATAAAATCAGCATACTGTAGCAATATAGCCATCTCAATGTTTATAGCAGAACAATTCACAATAGTCAAATTATGAATTCAACAATATGCCCATCAATAGACAAATGGATTTAAAAATTGTGGTACATACACAAAATGGAGAACAACTTTTTTTTTTAGTTGTAGATGAACACAATACCTTTATTTTATTTATTTATTTTTATGTGGTGCTGAGGATTGAATCCAATGTGTCACCCATGCTAAGCAAGTGCTCCAGCACTGAGCCACAACCCCAGCCCACGAACATCTTGCTGAGTAAAATAAGCCAGTTTCGGAAAATCAAGGGTTGAATATTTTATCTCATATGTAGAAGCAAAATAAAGCAGAGGAGGAGGGGAGGATTGGTATCATAAAGACATAGGGAACATCAGAGAGAAGATGGAGGAGACGAGGGATGAGAAAGGGGGAGGAAATGCAGAATGAATTTTTTAAAATAAAAAATGTGCTATGTGAATATGTAAATATACCATAGGAATTTCACCTTTATGTGTAAGTAGAAAGAAACAATCAAAAATAAATAGATGAGCAAAAAAGAAGATCAGGAGAATGGGAAGAAGAGAGAAAAATTAATTAAAATTTAATTGCATGCATATATGAATTTGTTAAGATGAACCCAACCAACTACTATGTTGTTAACTATAATGCTTTAATAAAAAAGAAAGAAAAAAGAATTCTTCCATAAAGATTAGTCTAATCTGTGTCTTTTATTCATTCATTTATATCAGTATGGATTCATAGTGTTTATTTTAGTGATGGATCCAATATGTTTATTATTTGTTGGTTATTTGAGATAAAAAGAAATATGAAAATGATTTCTATAGCTACCAGAGATACCATGGGAGTATCTATCTATCTATTTATAAATATAATTAAGACATGGAAGGATTCTACAATGGTATCAGATTGTGACAAAATAATTTAATAGCTTTAAAAATGTATGAAAACCTCATTGAAGGAGTTCTGGGAAAGGTATGAACAGAAATATCAGTGGAAATGAGTAGACACTGTACAATTAAAGACAGTAGTATTTTCATTACCTGTTAAACTAGATAGTCTTTCTCGTCTAAAGGATGGTTCTTCTAAGTCTTCTGCTATTGATTCAGTTGTTGATATACTTGACTTAGAAATGGTACTGCTTCCTATAACTGATCTTTAACAATATTAATAACATTGACATTTAATAACATTACTCATTTATTTAAATGTTCTTATGGACAATATATAAATTAGAATATATTATCAGAAGGGAGAAATCAAATATACTATAATCATATCAACAATATAAGTCAAAATAAGTTGATAAATTAACTTTTAAAATACTAAGTTGATTTTTTATCTTCTTTAGATAAAAAGTAATTCAAAATATATTTTAGAATAACACATGCCAGATGTATGTTTAAACAAATTCAATGTATTCCCAATGTATTTAGGACAAAAATCCAAAATATAACCTACAATCTCAGCCTCTTCATCTCTATTCTCTCTCTTRCCTTAAGATTATTTTGTTGCTTGTCTGTTTCTCAATCTTATAGAGCTCATCAGAGCCTCACCCTGAAGTATTTATCCTTTCATTTTTCACCTCCTTTCTGCTCATTATTCAAATTCCATCATAAAAATGTGATTTGTTCAATTTATAAAGATCCTCCCAAAACTAAATAAAAAACACATCTATGTACTCAGCAGGAGATCAATGGAAGAATCCAGAAATAATTTTCTTAAACATATGAACTTAACACCATTCCATGATATCATACAAATTTTATTTTTTATTTATAGTTTTCAACTGCCCACTTAAAGAGTGGGTCAACTTTATTGGAACATTCTTTTGTTTTACCTTGCTTTCCCATGACTTTCATTGGCAAACTTGGGGGCAGTCTCTAGAGCAGTATATAATTGTTCTGTATTCAAAAATAAACTAGAAATCAAACCCTAGCAGAATAAGGAATTTCATGGGAAAGGGAGCAAAATCCTCCCCTTCCCATAAAAATATAGCATAAAAGAAGCTGAAGAAGATAAGGAAAAGTATATAATGAGTATTTGCAATCAACTCTGTGTGATGTTAGCCCCTTATTTTGGTTCCCCAGGTATTCTTAAGTAAAATCTACATACTTTTTACAAACCTTTTCTTTTTTGGGGGGTTTACCGGGGATTGAACTTGGGGCACTTGACCCCAGGGCCACATCCCCAGCACAATTTTGTATTGTACTTAGCGACAGGGTCTTTCAGGGTTGCTTAGCACCTCACTTTTGCTGAGGCAGGTTTGAACTCAAAATCCTACTGCCTCAGTCTCCCAAGGTGCTGGGATTACAGGCGTGCGCTATAGCACCTGGCTCACAAACATTTTAATGTGAGAGTGCAGGAAGTCAAATCATTCAGAGTTCTGCAGCTAATTAAAACATAAGCAACATAGAGAAGGCACACTAGGAAAATAGGCTTTAGCTGAGAAACTAGAGACAACTGCTATCTAAGTTATATATACGCAATTTAAATAAAAAGACATATATATATATATACACACACACACATATATATGGAGGAAGAATAGAACAATACCTTGTAAACTGCCCTAACATACTAGGATTTACTGTATTCTGATACAGGCTATAGGAAGAAATAAATTCTGATCCAAGTGATCCTTCTTGTGATGTCAGTAGTTTACTTGGTTTTGCTGTACCAACATGTGGGTCTGGACAATAAAGAGGTCGGGGAGTAACATCAATTCCATTTGCATCAAACACCTGTAGAAAATAGTATTTTAAAATTAAATAATTTAAAATGATGGGATTTCTATTATTTAGACTTAGAAAATAGAAACAACTCTACTATAAAAAAAAGTTCATAGGATAAGATAAACAATAATAGAAAATTTTATACACAAAATTTCTTAACTAGGCATATATTTTTTMAAATCTATGTTTTATCTATATATAATAAATAAGCCATGCATTACTTAATAATGAGGATATATTCTGAGAAGTGTTAAGTGGATTTTGTCATTGTTCAAAATACAGTAGTTACCTAAACCTAGATGGTATAGGTGAATTACTCAATGTGGCCTCTCAGTGCAATCAAGAAACAGTATAAACACAAAACATATGAGGCTGTGCTGGCATAATAGCCATGCTGTTTTACAGCAAACTTTGAAAAATAATTATAAAAAGTATTTAGCATAGTAAATACACAAACCAGTAACACGTTTATTATATTTTGTACTATACATAACTGTGGCACAATTGAAGGTTTGTTTACATCAGTATCAACACAAACACCTAAGTAATGCTTTGCACTAAAATGTTACTATGGCTATGATATCAGCAGGTGATAGGAATTTTTCAGTTCCACAACAATCTTACCGACCATTGTCATAAATGCTGTCATTGACTCTTACATTGGTATGCAGCACATGATGGCATTAATTGTGGGAAATAAGAAAGGTAGAAAGATATCCAGTTGTTAATATTTTAGCCTATTTAATTATTATATATACAGACTTTAAAAAATTCATTATTTTAAGTTAATATTTTATTCTCAATTTGTTATATATTTCTGGCTAATTTTTAATTCTTTTAATCATAAAATTTTAAATACAAATATGTAATTAAAATAGAACTGCACACTTAAATAAAGTAAATATCTTGTAATCAGAACTAACATAAAATATTAGAACCCTGATAGCAACTCCAGAAACCACTCCCTAGTCTTAAACCCTTCCAGATTATAGCATTCTCTCTCGCTGATGATAATCATTAACTTAAAAGTCTTTCTTCTTTTTGTTGTTTTATGGTGTGCTTCCTTAAACAATATATTTTTTAAAACCCGTGTTGAAGTAAAATATACAGTACACCCATAAATTTACAGCTGACTTTTCAACAGAACACACACATAACCAGCATACAGATTCATAAACACAAAATTACTTTATCACTGTGCTACATCACCTGTATTTTCTATTTTGAGAAGGATCTCACCAAGTTATTGAGACTGGCTTTCAACTTATGATCCTTCTGTCTCAGACTAGCAAGTTGCTGGGATTACAACCATGTACACTACTCCCGGGCGAATCCTTGTTATTTTTAGCCTTTAGTATTTTTGTATAAATTTTAGAATTATCTTAATAAACGTATAAAAAAAATACAGATTTTGATTGAACTGGCAAAAGATCTGTGAATCAAAATTTGCACAAAATCTACATACTTAAACATGACCTTTCTATGCATGAAAATAATCTCTCTATTCTTTGGATCCCAATAAAAAATTTTAGTGTAAAAATATTGGTATGTGCATCTTTTATTATACTCTTACACAATTACTTGATACATTTTTGTGCTATTACAAATATTACTCAAAATATCTGATTTTTAACTATTTGTTGCTTGCATGCAAATTCATATAAATATGTTTTTTCTTTGTTTTTAAGTCTGGTATCCAATAAACATTAATAATTCACTAGGTGACTTTAAATTTTATATGTAGATAATTCAGTAATCTACAAATACTCAATATTTTGCTTCTTTCTTTCCAGTTTTTACTTTCATTTCTTTTTGATGCCAAATTGAACTAAGACTTTCAAAAATGTTGGATAGAAGTGGCATTTTTCCCCCCAGATGTCTTCCCATTTGATACAATCATTTCTGTAGGACTTAACAGATACCCTAAATTCTATTAAGGAAGTTCCTCTTGATACCCAGTTTTTAAAAATTTTTGTGTAAATCATGAATATTCAATATTACCAGATATTCTGTATTGAGATAACCATATGCTTTTCTTTTTTTTTCCTTCCCCCTTTAAGCTATCAATGTGTTGAATTACATTCTGGATTTTTGAATGTGAAACCAATTTGATTTCTTGGTATAAATCCAAATTCCTTATGGTATATTATGCATTTTTGTTGTTATTAAATAGCATTTGCTATTATTTTATTGGCATATTATTTTCTTCATCTATGTTTGCATAGATGAATTATTATGAGAATATGGTTGTATTCATAGTTTAATGTCAAAGTAACACTACCCTCATAAAATGAGTTTTGAAGTACATCCACATTTTGTGTTCTGTTTTCATCCATATATGCTTGGCATGTATCACAAGTAAAGCCATCTGGGCCTAGAATTATCTTTGAAAGAAGGTTTTCAAATTACTCATAAAATTTCTCTAATAGCTTCCACTTTTAAAGAATTTTTCCATTTTATCTAATTTTTAAAGTTCAAATTGGAATAAAATTACATGTAATATGCACTAATTAATTCTTTCAATAGCTTTTAATATATATGATTGAGTGAGTTTGAGTATTTTCACAGATAAGTGCAACTATCACCACAATTAATTCCAAACATTTTAATCACTTCAAGAAGCCCTGTATCCTTTAATTATGACCCCTTAACCCTTGTCTGTCTCCTAGTCCTAGGCCAGCACTAATATACTTCAGGTCTCTATAGATTTCATATTCCGGACTTTGATATGAGTAGATTAATACACCATGGAATATTTTGTCACTGGTTGTCTCAATTATCATGTTTTCAAGATTCATCCATTTTGTGATATACACMAGTGTTTTATTCCTTTTCCTGCCTGAATAATAATCTATCATACAGATATATTACAGTTGCTTAGCCATTTTTTCATTGAAGGACCATTTCCATATTTTGGCTATTATGAATAATGCTGCTACAAACATTTATATACAACTTTGTTTGGGAACACTTTAATTTTTCATGGGGTATATATACCTAAGAGTTGGGCCCTAAGGTAAGTAAGACTGTTTAAACTTTTAAGGAACATTAAAGAAAACACACTTTTCAAAATTAACCAAATCATTTTACATTCCCACCCACAGTGTATGAGGGTTCTGATCTTCAAATCCTTACCAACCAATGTTATCTTACTCTAATTACAGCATCCTGGTGGGTGTGAGTTGGTTATAATTATGATTTGAATTTCTGATGATTAATATTAAGCAACTTTTCACATACTTTGTGACCATTTGTGCTTTCCTTGGAGAAATGAGCAATTAGATTATATACCCAATTTTTAATCAGGTTATTTGTCTTTATTGATGAGTGGCTAGTGTTCTTACATATTTTAGATAAAAGTCTATGTACCTACCCTGCAGTTCAGCTCTGAGCTACTGTCCCTCTGTAAACATTACAATTCAAGACCAAGATTTTGCTATCTATCCCTATGGAGGTGGCTGGCATTCTCCCGTGAATGTGTATTACTTGTTTTACCCCAAAAGCTTCACTTTCAAGGTGGCTAACATTCTCCTTTACACTCTCAAGATGGCCAGCATTCTCCCTTGAATGTGGATCCACTTTCTTAAACAAACCGGTCTCTGACTGGCACATGCTAAAATTTTTTTGTCACATATTCCAAGGACTTCTTATCTTGAGTTGAGGTCCTCCTCTCTGGAACTCCTCTGGTGATAACCACACCACCTTTACTGTCTTAATTAATCATGGTTTTACTTTGGTGAACAAATTTATAATAGCTACTTTGAAATCTTTTTTGTTAAATCTGACCATCTGATCCCTCTCACTGGCAGTTTCTGTTGTCTGCTTTTTCTTGTGCATGGTTTGTGCTTTCTGTACTTCTGTGGAAAACTGGAGATTTTAGATGATGTATTATAGTAACTCTGGGTATTGATACCTCCCTTCTCTTCAGAGCCTGATATTATTATTATCTTATTTGTTTAGTGATTGGTTGAATTATTTTATTGAAGCCTATATTCCTAGTATGGATTAACTATCCATTAAAAGATGATATTGAAGTCCTAGTTCACTGAGATTATAACCTTATTTGGAAACTGAGTCTTTGAAGATTTAATCAAGTCCAAATCACTGGAGTAAGCACTAACCCAACGACTCTTACCCTTAAAAGAGGACATTTGAACAGATATACACAGAGGGACAACAAAAAAAAAAACAACACATGGGGATAATATGATATGTGATGATATTGGAGTGATGCCTCCACATGGAAAGGAATACCTGGAACTACTAGAACCTAGAAGTGAAACATGAAACAAATCGTACCATTCAGACAGCACACCTTGATTTCAAATTTCTGACTCCCAGAACTAAGAGACAATAAACTTCAATTATTTTTTAACAATTTCTTGCCCTTTGTTAAGGCCTAGGAAACTAATATCCCCCATCTCATTTCATAGCCCTTTGCTGTTGATTCTCAGTGAGATGGTATAGTTTGGGTGGGCTCACAAACCTCTGGGAATGTTCTGACAGAATTAAGGTTCTGTTCCCCTCTTTCCCTGTCCACACTCAGTTTTTAATTGCTCTATTATTTTCAACAATGCCCTAGGGCATAAATGCCCTACAAATTAATCCAATCATGAAGTCTGATTTGTCTTTAAAAGACTGTGATTTTAATGTCCCATCTAAAAAATCATTTTCTGATCCATTCAAAGTTAAATATTACGCACTTTTCTATATATGTTATGTTTTGATTAAATGTTTTAAAGTCTTTTGTTATGAGACAATTCTGATAATTAATTTGATGACATTTTCAAGAGTACATTGCTGAGGAGAGTAGATGACAGTAGTATATTAGCTATAATTAACAACAGATAATTCTTAATGTCCTAAGTAGACTTTCCTTATTCTACTACAATATTCCTATTATTCATAGTGAGTTACAGGAGCCATTTGCTACTATTATGCTGTAAGGAATGTTACGGAGTAAAAATTTTAATCAAATCAATATTTCAATATTTGAAGTGATCAGTTGATTATTCTAAAATTCCAATAGTTTTACATGATGTCATTTTAAAATAAACCCAGAATTCTCAAGAATATTACCTGTATTGACTTAATGTTGGGAATATTCAATTTTTCTATTGATCTCATTTCAGGTGGAATAAGTAAGTTTCTTGATACAGTCAGTTTGCTTTGATTTGAACCAATATATCCTTTGTTTGGAGCTTTTCCTGTGGCATTAAAGCTAATAGACCTCCTTGGTAATAGTGAGGCATTATTCCTATATCAGGAAAAGACAATACAATACAAGGATCCATGATTGAAAAGAAAAATCAATACAAACAAAAAAGGTACACTTTCATTTATAAACATGAATAATCTAACCATATAACATGAAATAAATAGCTGCTTGAGAGATTATTTTGCATAAGCATAGTTCTAGAGAGTTTATATACACTATGTGACTTTTCTCCTCACAACAACTCTAAAAAGTTGCTGTTAACTTTTTTTCTGGGGTGTGTGTGTGTGTAAGGGTGGAACCCTGGGGGTACTTTATTACTGAGTAGATCCCTAGTCCATTTATTTTTATTTTGAGACAGAGTCTTAGTAAATTCCTGAAGCTGGCCTCCAACTTAACATTCTTATGCCTCAACCTCCCAAATTGCTAGGATTATAYGCATGCAACCATGTGCACTATTAACAGTTTATGTAAAATCACAGAGGCTTAAATAGGGAAAATTGAGTTGAGATTTGACACAGGATGTAAGATTCAAAGGCTATACTGACTTTTGTGAGTCTTATATTCTTACTTACAAAACAGGGATTATAATAGTATCTAACTCAGTTTCTTATGAGTAAATGAATTAACTTTGGTATTATGGTTAAGAAGTGTCTGGCACCCAGAAAGCACAAACACTCTGCAGTTACACAGGCAAATTTAAACAGAAAAGAATATCATGTTCCCATCTGAACAAATAATGATTTTTTGAAAATTTTTTTTAGTTCTAGTTGGACACAATACCTTTATCTATTTTTATGTGATGCTGAGGATCAAACCCAGTGTCTCGAATATGCTAGGCAAGTACTCTACAGCTGAGCCCCAGCCCCAAATAATGTATGATTTTTAATAAGAAAAGTTATAATCTAAATATTTGTGTCTGAAAGAAAAAATTTTACTTTTGGATTTACTCTGTAAATTCCTAAAAACAGAACCTACTTTCTATTCTTTCTAGTGTTCTGTACTATAGTTTTCTATAAAATGAGGATGATCTTCCCTTAGCTTATAAAAAGGAAATATGCTGCCAAAGAAAACATTTTAATAATACTTTAAATYTTTTAATCATAAAAGATCAAACAAGAATAAAATATCTTTAAATGACAATTATCAATCCAGTTTTCATATTTATTTTCTTCACAGCATTGTTATTACTATTTGACATTTTGTTTCTTGTTTTCCACTCTTCTTAGAATGTAGGCACATTCAGGGTAGAAACTGTCATACTCATTGCTATGTTCCTAGCACACAGCCTAGGGCCTAATATATCATAGGCGCTAAACACATACTTTTTAAATTAATGTGAAAATGAATTCCATTTGCACACTATTTCAAACATGTTCAAGTATCCTACCCTATTTTGTTTCTAAAGGACTACACTATCCTGACAATACAAATAAAAGGTTTCAATTATGTAAAAACGCCTTCATATCTTTTCTCTACCTGCTTAAAATTCTGCTTCCTGCAAACTCATCAATATATTCTTATCTTTTTTCCTCATTCAATAAGAGTTGATATTCTATAAGACTAATATTTCTAATATTTTTATCTATGTTTTGAAATGTGTCTCTTCTAGGGAACTCTTCTCCATGAGTTAATCCCAAGTCTTTTAATCGTATTATTTCCCCATGAACATGCTTCAATCATCTCATCTTTTCTTTAGCTATGCCTTCCTCTACCTATTAATACATCTCTTCTCCCTTTCATAGTTCAGTTTTCTAAAATATTAGTCAATAATACTGTCTCTTTTCTTTTTTCTTTTTTTTTTCTGTGATGCTGGGGATCAAACCTAGGGCTGCATGCATCCTGGGCAAGTGCTTTACCACTGAGCTTCATGTCCCACCCTGTCTACTTTTTTGCTTCTCTTATCTAGTTCCAATTTTTCATTAATATCATCCATTCCTTCAAATTGTTGAATCACTCTTCACCTTTGTAGCATCTGACAGTTGACTATTTCCCTTTATAAAAAATTGACTTCTCAAATTGGTTTCTATGACACCAGTTTCTTATTCTTTAACCTCCTTGAGACCTCTGATCTTCCATTTTCTACTAATTAATCTTTTAGATTTCTCTTCATTTCTAGCTAATTCAAAAATCCACAATACGTCAGTAGAATCATTCCTTTGTTGCTACCGTCCAGTCTCTTATTTTTCTTTCTCCTTAACTTTTTGCCCTAAAGTCCTTTTTACAAAGTCCAGTCCTCAGGGCTGAAGTCGTAGCTCAGTGGTAGCTCAGTGGTAGAGCGCTTGCCTGGCACATGTGAGGCACTAGTTTCAATCCCCAACACTACATAAAAATAAAGAAAGAAAATAAAATTATTGTGCCCAACTACCAAAATAAATTGACAAATAGATACATAGATAAATAAATATATAAAAGATGCAAAATCCAGTCCTCATGTTCTATTTTTCCTTTAATAAACTCCTCTTTCATATATTACAACAGGCTTGAACCTCAGCAATCTATTTTCTCATTATATACACCAAACCTGGTTTCAGTGGCCATGTATATTCTACTGTCTAATACCATCACTTCTGTCTCTCTTCTTCCATCCTCTGAAGATTTTTTACCTTGAACCATGGGTGCTCTCTCTCCAATATTATCCCTGCCATAATTATTGAGTATTTCAATATCCATGAAGCTAATCCTTCTACTACCGTAGCTTATTAGAAAACTTAGATAAATGATGTTATATTGCTACTTTAACCACTTACCCTAATGATCAATATGCTTGACCTTGTCTTTAGAAAGGTCAATGCTTACTTCCTATTTTTTCAGTTTAAACACTCTCTTAAACCACAACATCAACAATCCTTCAACTCTATTATGATCTTTAAGTCCAGATGCTACCATCTTATGTACCTCTATGTATCTCTTCTCTCTTGATCTTAAAAGTTATCATAATTGATAACTTTTAATTAATATTAATTATTATAATCATTCCTTTCTTACATTCTCATCCCCTTTTCCCTTCTTTTATGTCATAACACTTGCTGGTAAAACCAAAACCATGGTAAATTCCAATCATGCTCTTACTTTAACCTTGCACCTATGTATTAACCATGTTTCTAGCTTCTATAAATCTGATGTTTAAAAATGTGCCCTACATGTACAAGTCAGACGTAGCTTGTTCTGGACAATATGGAAATATGCCTAAGTTACTGTGCCTTGGTTTCCTGCCTCCCTCATATCTCCCAACCCCAGAAGTCCTCCTCTTAGGAGGGGATTTTTCAAATACATATCGATCAACAGCAAGTCCACACTCCTGACAACCTCTTTTGAAATCCCACATTCTGGACCACAATACTTGTTCCAATCACTCCACTGTCAAGTGCCAACCCAATAGATAGCCTCTATGCTTCAAAAACAACTAAAATTATTCAAAGTAGCCAATCCTGTTTATACTGTCTTACCCATTCCTTCTGGAAGAAACCAAAAGAAAAGCTCTTATTCACAGTAAACCTCCCCATACCTACCCTCTACACTAAAGCAAATAATCATTTCAATATTCTTATCTTACTTATTAGCAGCATTTGATCTAGCTGTTCCTTTTTTTTTTTTCTAAACTTGGATTGTGGGACACTCCCTTTACCTGGTTTTCCTCTTAGTTTTTCTGTAAACTTCATCATTAAACTTCTCTTTTCTTTCTATATTCATAGTCTAATGAATTCATTCAATGCTATGACTTAAATGCCATTATGTGAAAATGAATCCATAATACATAACTCTAACCCATATACCTACCTGCCTACTTGACATCTATAAAGGAAATTTAGCAAGTCCAAAACTGAATTCCTGGTGTTAACCACCATTACCATTTCACCCTTTTCAGGAAATTTACTTCTTATAGTCCTTCCCATTTTATTTTTTAAGGATATTCTGTTCTCCCAGGTGCTTAGGTGAAAAAAAGTAAAAATATATCCAGAATCCATTCAATTATCATCATCTTTATTGCCACTATCCTGGTCCAAACACAATCTTATCTTTTTTGGATTACTGCAGTGCTCTTTTAACTGTCTTTTTACTTTACCTGGATCCCCTGAAATCTATTCTCCACACAACCTTTTAAAAGCACAAGCAAGATCAATTCAATTCTTATTATAACTTGTGACATATAAAATAGTCATATTTCACAAGAAAACTTAAATCCCAAAAGGACAATTGAAATACCCAAATTTAATCAAGAACTCATAGGCCATGTGTTTGAGCAAATTTCTTAGTCTGTTTCTTTACTTCTCTGTAAATTAAGGTTAATAACAATACCTAATTCAGAGTTAGGGTGATCATTAGTTTTATTTCTAAAGTACAATGAGGAGATAAAAATTATAAAATAACAATTTAAAGACTCAAAGAGAAGGTAATAGGGTCAAGGGAAAAAACTGGAGAGAGAAAGAAGAACCAGACAGGAGGCATTCAGGCAGGCAATAAATGAACCAGTAAAGTCCAAGGTTAAGGAAATTAAAAAAAAATCTTCAGGAGGATAATTATTGTCAAATGCTCAGAGAGATGGAAAGAAAGATTGAATCTGGTGACCTTTGAAATCTTTAGGTTATGATTTAGGTTATAATCCTTTGAGTAGTTTCTAAAAAGCAATAGTGACAACAGATAAGAATTAAGGAGTGAACAGACTTTCTTTTTTTTTTTTTTATTGGTTGTTCACAACATTACAAAGCTCATGACATATCATATTTCATACATTAGATTGAAGTGGGTTATGAACTCCCAATTTTACCCCAAATGCAGATTGCAGAATCACGTCGGTTACACATCCACAATTTTACATAATGCCCAATTAGTAATTGTTGTATTCTGCTACTTTTCCTATCCCCTACTATCCCCCCTCCCCTCCCCTCCCATCTTCTCTCTCTACCCCATCTATTATAATTCATTTCTCTCCTTGTTAATTTTCCCATTCCCCTCACAACCTCTTATATGTAATATTGTATAGCAATGAGGGTCTCCCTTCATTTCCATGCAATTTCCCTTTTCTCTCCCTTTCCCTCCCA